AGAGTTCCCGAGCGGGGGCGGCTAAGAAGGTCCGTCGTGATGAGATGGCGGAAACCGTCCGAGCGGCGGAAGGTCAGGATGATGTTCCCCAGGTGGGTATCCCCGGAGCGGCGACGTCTGGAGTTGTGCTGCCCGTCTCTTCTGCTGCATCGGGGGCGGCTCTGGCGACTACGAGAGACGCTCCTCCGCGATCTAGCGAGAGGCTACCGACGGGAGCTCCAGCGGCTTCTGTGTCCGCATCAGGAGGTAATTTTTCTTTTGCAATATCGTCTTTGATCGCAACGATGATCTCATACCTTTTGACATTGGTATTGGACCTATGCAGGTGCGATTGAGGAGGTGATCCCCATTCCTTCCGACGAGGAAGGGGAGGCTAAAGATGAGGAGGGGCCCACCGGCTCGGGTAAGCGTGTGTTTTAGCATTACTTTTCTTCCCGTACCCGACTGTTAGTAGGGTCCCTTTCGAGGGGTCTCTGTTAACCTCTTTCTGTGCATTTGTAGTTGACCCTAACCGTGAAGTCGCAGGTGAGGAGGATCCTCACTCTTGGGCGAATCGCTCATCTGAAGAGGCGGGCGAATCTGGGGAGGATGACAATGTCTCGGTTCACGAGGCATTGTCCAGTGAGGAAGAGGATTTGGCGCTTGAGGACGCGCCTGGCCAAATAGGGGGATCTCCTGCTCCTACGGAAGCGTCGGCTGGGGGTCATTCATCGGCGCGAGAGTCTCCGCTTCAACGGGAGGCCCCCATTCTGCAGGTGACCATTTCTCCGTCGACGGCGGCCGTTGACGTTGTGACCACTGCACCGAGGGTGTCATTGGTCGCAGCGGCTCCGGTGGTGCCCGTTACCACTTCTACGGTTATGGCTACAGGTACCTCGACCGTGATTTCATCCACGGCGGAGGAGGTCGCCCTCTCTTCCTTGGAACGCTGGCGAAAAACGCAGGTGGAGCGAGCTCTGGCGAATTTCGAAGATACTTTGGCCCACTGCACCCGGCTGGTCTTGGAGGAGAATTGCCCCTTCGAAGAATTCAGGGAAGTTCTTGAACACGATGCGTCCTTCTTGCGTAAGAGGCTCGGCGCCGCCGCGGCGAGGCCCTATTTTCAGCGTCTGAACGAAGTGGAGGGGGCTGTTCGGCAGCTGCTCGCTCTTCGTGCGGAGAGTTCCACTCTTGTTGATCTCGCCTCCCGCGAAGTTCGAGTAGCTTTGGCGGATCGTGATCGCCGCCTGAACGAGAACATGACGTTAGAGTTAAAACTGTCGGCAGAGGCGGAGCAGGTCAGAGCCGAGGATGCACAAGTGGCCCGCGAGGAAGAAACGGTCGATACCCAGTTCTCCCGACTTTCCTTCGAAGTAGAGAGGCTGAAACAGGTTGTAGCCGAAGCACAGGCTGCCCTGGCCGTTCAAGAGAAGGCTCGCGATCACGTGGCAAAGGAGTTGGAGGGCGTAAAGTCTCGCCGGCGGTTGACTGCTGGCTCCGTTGCAGAGAAGGATCGAGCTCTCAAGGATGTCAGGGAGACTATTCAAGACTTGCTCTCGTGCACGGAGGAAGATATTCGTCGAGAGGTCCTGAGAAGGCTTGAGTTTCGCCATGCTGAAGAAATTCGTGAGGCGGAACTGAAGTTGAAATCCCTGTAGTTCGCCTTTAGTTTTCTGCTTGTAATAGGACTTCTTTTTCATGAATGAAATCATCCCTTTTGTTTTTGGCCTATTGCCATTTGTGTGTGTGCTCCATTTTCGTAATCATGCATTAGTCAGAATTTGACCGTAAGAGAACCTCAACCGTAGAGGAATTCTTGCCGGTGAGTTTCTGCTGCAAGTTTACTTCATCCGCAGGCGAATTTTGTTCGCAGGCGGATTTGCAGGAGTTTTAAGGAGACGGGGGATAGCCGCCTCGCATTAAATGCGAGGTAGTGGGCCTCTCCGTTCCCCACGTCCGATTTGAGCCGTTTGTTGAAGATCGTGCTCAAGGAACTGCCAGATCTTATCCGTCCAGATCCGATCCGTTCGGTCTTGCACTTTAGCTGCTTTAGCCACGAACGGTCTAATCGAATATTGAGTAACCGTCTAGGATTCGTAGGGTATTTAACGCCCCTACTCTCTATTAAGAGGACCTACAGCCTCTTCATCATTTTCCCTCATAAACCCGAATTTTCCCTTTCTTCCTTCTCCTGATGGCACCGAAGGTGAAGAGGGTCGTTTCCAAGAAAAGGAAGGAGCCGTCTTCTTCAGGCGCTGCTGAGGCCGCCGCGGCTGAA